TCTTGGGTTGTTTGCATGTCTGTCAGCAGGATTCGGACAATACTACTGGTCCAAATTTGATCAAAGTTGCTGGAAACCTGAGGTCTCGTTGAAAATCGATGCCACTAAATACAGTTAAAGTACAGCTTTGATTTAGCTAACTGTGTCCTGATTCTAGACCGCTGTGTTGGACATGTTGGATAGAAGTGAGAATCAATACTTTTTCATTGACCAAAACGCACCAGACTGAGCCAATTTCAAACTGTTTTCTAATCAAACAAAGGAGCTGCTTGCGTTTCAACTTCAGGCTTCTTCTGTGATCTTATAAAAAAGCACTTTTAGACTCAGAGCTCCTCCTGAGAGTTTGAGGTTTGAGTTTCAGCCGTGTTTCTGAAAGCAGAAGGAGGCCCCTCTGCGTCCCTCTGCAGGTTTCTTCTTCATCTCTTTGTGGCTGCTTCGTGTCCGGACACGTCGTCTTTCCTGCCGCTTCAAAGAGTCGCCGCTCCACAAACACTTCCAGCTTCCTGAGATTAAAGCGTCCAAAGCCTCAAGAGAACTTTATCATCCTCTCAGGATCAGGAGGAACTCAGCGCAGACCGACAGGGGTCCTGTGATTGTTGGATAACGTGCCGAGTATTGTTCCAATGTTTCTGCAGACTTTAAGGAATAATGCGTGACATTTCTGTGATCAAATGTCTGAGAAAACTAGCCCTAGAGTTGCATTATCCCGATAGAGAAAAGTGGGATTGTAAGGTAACGGTGCCTCTCAGACAACAGTGTAGGTATTACAAAATATATATAATAAAACAGATACAGAGCCGGGGGAAAGGGGTAAGGGGGTAAGGGGTTATGAAACCGGGAAAGAAACAGAGAATAGTCCACGTTTATTTCTCGTTACTCTGTTTCTTATGGATATTATCTCCTCATTTTCATTTGCAGTAACGTTGTGTGCCAGAAGCTGTGATAAACTGAGCTTTTATTCAGTTGAAGGCCACATTTTTCTACAACACTTTTAAATCTTGGTGCTTTTTAATAGTTTTATATTAGAGAAACAAGCTGAGCTAACGTTAGCCTTTAGCTCGTAGCCCTTCGGTCCAGTTTCCTCTGGGAAAACACTGATAAACTGCTTTATTCAGTGTTTTTATCAGTTAGACTCATTTGTTTTAGAGAGGAGGCAACTTTTGGGGATAATTCAGCTTCAAGTCAAATCTTCCTTCACGTCTGGATCTGAAGATATCAGAAGATCAAGCTGAGCTAACATTAGCCTTTAGCTCGTAGCCCCTTGGTCCAGTTTCCTCTGGGAAAACACTGATTTCTAACATGTAAAACAAGTTCAACTCATCAAGTCATTTGTTTTAGAGACGAGGCAACTTTTTAGGATAATTCAGCTTCAAGTCAAATCTTCCTTCACGTCTGGATCTGAAGATATCAGAAGAACAAGCTAAGCTAACGTTAGCGGCAGCCGAGCAACATGCAGGCAAGAAACTCTGATTTAAAACCTCAAACTGAAACTTTATTCCCCGTTTCCCGCTTTATTTCAGACGCTATCAAACTCCAGTGTTCACAATTGATTTCATTTGAGACCCATAAAGACAGAATTTAAAGATAGCGTTTTTATAAAGTTATTTACTGCTCGGATAAGACGTTTCAATCATCATCAAGTTCATAAACTCTACAGAGAAATGACTTTCTTCCCAACGTGCTGAGAGTCCTCTCTGCTAAAACTCATTTTGGCAGAAATGGACCAAATATTTACAATCCTTCCAAACAGGAAACAAACTCTCAGACTTTCAGCCGAACCACTTCCTGTCGAGCGGACAAACGTTTGGATTAGGTTTACTGAAAGATGTAATTACACAATCACAACTAAAAACCCTCAGACTGCTGCTGGACTCCTAGAGAACAGGACTACATTACCCAGAAGTCTGTGCAGCTTTAACAGGAAAGTTCAGGATCATGACTTCCTGTTTAGAGCACATTTTCCCAGCGGTTTACAAAATAAGAGCTTTATATATTTTCATTCAATTGCACTTTAATTATAAAAAGTGTTGCTATAATGCTGTACTGCTCTACGTCCTATACAAGTATAACGTGTTTGGATTTACAAAGTGGAGACTCAACTTCCTGTTGCTGATGTGTTTTCAGAATAAGAGCGTTATAACATGTTTATCTGTACTCTTATTTGCCTTTCATAATTATAATAAAGTGTAAATGTTATCCGTGCTGTTTGAAACGTTTGCCTATATTGTGCTAGTAACTATTCAGAGACTTGACTTCCTGTTGATGCTGTGTTTTCAGAATAAGAGCGTCAGACCATAGCTCTTTCCTGGCTCTCTGCCCTCTGTCCCACTTCACTCCCTCGGGGTAATACACTCTTATCTTATCTATAGCATCAGCTGAGTAAAAACCTGCCCTCCTCCGTGCGTTGGCGTTTCTCCTCAGAACAAAGCCCCGCTGTAATTAAAGAGAAAACAGAAACAATGCAAACAGGGCCCGGAGGAGGAGGAGGGAGAGCCGTGTAATTAAGAGCATTTCCATGTGAAAACGAGGCTTTTAATCGGAGCACCTGAGGCTCGGAGACAGCAGCGTGACCGAGCCTCTCAGGAATGCGGGTTAAAAACAGCCCGGGGCCACAGAGATAGACAGGTATTTTTAAAAAGGCTCCGGGGAACTAAAAACAGAGCGAAGGGGGGGGGGGGGGGGGGTCGGGGGTACGCAGATATCTGACATGAGATATCAGCTCTGAGTTTCACAGGCTGATTTAATGCTGGAGTGAATCGAATGATGTCTAAAAACTGGGGTGAATAACTCATTTCATTTGATCCCATTTCTTTGGGAGGGTTTCCTTGTCCCATGTGAGGGTCTGAGGTCAGAGGGAGAAGTGTAAACTGTAGAGCCGTATGTAGATGTGTGATATTGGGTTATATGGATCAACTTTGATTGATTTGAGTTCACAGCCCACATGCAGCTCAATGTGATCTCGAGTTGGCCGGATCAGTCAAATAATAACCTGTAAATAACAACAACTCCTCCCCTTAGTTCTGTTATTCCATATGCAGTTAAGGGTAAGTTATTATATGCAGAGGAGGGTTAAATACGCATGTAGTGTACCAGTAAAAGTGCTGCATTCAAACCCGACATAACGGTCACGATAGTGATATTTGTTCAAAAATATGAAAGAAATTTGACGATTTGTTGATTAAGTCGACGGATCTGTTAAAGTGTTTCTCCACGAAGAATCACACGTTTGTATTTTAGCATGAAATTAAGCCTAAAACACTTAAGAAATCTTAACTAAAACTTAAATGACTGAGCAGTCGACTAAGCCTGCTCAAAACTATTGTGTTAAACCAAAGTGATGGGGGGGGTATTTGGTCTGAAATCCAAAAGATATTCACTTTATATTTGATATAAAACAGAGAAAAGCAGCAAATCCACATTTACTGACATCTTGTCAACTAAATATTTTAAAACCAAACAGGATGTACTTCTCCTTAATCAGAAATATATCTATGGGAGTCTAAAGAAGTCGCTCTTTGTTAAACGCTCAGAAACTCACACAGAGTTTGGTTGTCAGAAGATATTCACTTTAGTATAAAACAGAAGCAGTTGATCAGAGAGGCTGGAGACACACTTCAGAGACAAATCACTGTAACTATGATCGCAGGGAGATAAATCAGTGCCGTGTTGCCGCTGGGACGTTTTGAGGTGTAATTTCACTGTAAAAGTGTCAGAATCAGCCTTTAAATCCAACATGTGTTTTAATGCCCATCCGTCTGTTCCTCAGGTCAGGCAGGAACCGTCATGCTGTACTTATTCTACAAACCAGACGTCTGCTGCACACTTCCTCTGTTATTTACCTCAGAGAGCTGACTGATGTGCCCCCAACACACACACACTGAATCCATCACAGTGCTGCTAACTTCACACCTCCAAAAACCCAGAGCGACAAACAAACAGATCACAAAGAGAAGAGGACACACACACACACACACACACACACACACACACACACACACACACACACTTTCCAAAGTACCTCCCTGGAGCTCAACGTTTTAAATAATAATAACAATAGAGAAATACATAAAAGATAAAACTCCACTCTCAATAAGTTTCATTTTTCATCCAAAACTTAACTTTAAGCAGAGTCAAACCCTCCCTTTTTATCTCCACACAACAACCAAACTCCCTGGAAAACTCCACTATTTTAAAGTGTTCCCTCTGCTGTGCCACAGTCTTCAAACCATGTCACAGCTGTAGGTGTTTTTTTTAGAATTGTACATATGTTGTCTTCAATTCGGCACTCATCTTTAACACTCAGTAGAAGTGTAAATGGTAAAGCTTTCACATAACAACTGTTCCTACAGGTGGTTTATGCTGCTCGCTGAGGTGTGTAGAAGTAGAGGCAGACCGGATCTGTAAAGTTTAAATTCACCATTAAGACTATAGATTGAAGGTATGGTGTGTATGCCGAATTAAACAGAGGGTCCTCATTAGGCGTGACATGTACATGGTTTCATGAGTTATGCAGGTGGTTTAATCAGAAATCGAGAAAACCTTAAATTGACAGTTTTCAATGTGAGGTTCGGAAACTAAAAGATGGAATTCACCCTAAAAAGTAAAGATTTAAGGTATGTGATGCATGCCGAATTAAAGAGAAGGTCCTTATACTGCATGAAATATATATGGTTATGATCATTTAAGCAGGTGGTTTAATTAGTAAGCGAGAACACCTTAAATTGACAGTTTTCACATTGAGGTTTTGCACCTATAAGTGGAATTCACCCTAAAAAGTTAAGATTTAAGGTACTTTATGCTTGCCGAATTAAAGAGTGGGTCTTTATACTGCATGAAATACATCTGGTTGTGTTGATTTATGCAAGTGGTTTGATCAGAGATCGAGAACACCTTAAATTGACAGTTTTCACAGTGCGGTTCGGCGCGGTGGATTGCGCGCAGAGAAAAAGGGTCTGTTTTCGGGCACCACAGACTGTATATAAATATAAAAAGGCACTTACCGAGGTGCAGCGTGAGGTTGATGGAGTTGGGGTACTGGATCCCCGCCAGCATGGTCTGGCTCTGCCACCAGGTGGTGTCCTGCTGGTTGTTGTAGTCGGTCAGGTACCCGGCGCTGTGGTGGTTCGACGGGTCTCCGGAGGCGCAGATGTGGCAGGACTTGGTGACCCCGGTGGCTCCGGTCTGCACGCAGTACTCCTCCGGTGGAGATCCGCAGGTGTTGGTCGACACCACCGTCACGTTAAAGGCTGCGTTCACGAACTCGGGCATGCATCGTTGCGCGCGGAGCTCATCGTCCGAACACTCATCCATCGCGGCGCGAGCGCACAGGAACACCCAGCTCGCGGCCACCAGAGCCCGGATCAAAACCCGCATTCTGCTCTACAGACTCAGGGGGAGGACAAACTAAAAAAAAAAACAAGTGTCCTAAAAAGTTACAACAAGTTGTCCAAGAAGAACAACAAGTGGTCCGAACTGATTTCTGTGTCTCTCCAGAGGGTCGTCTCTCCTCTCCAGGCCGCGAACAGAGCCTCAATCCCGGCTGCTGCTGCTGCTGCTGCTGCTGAGTGTGTGTGAGAGTGTGTGTGTGTGTCGGAGCTCTTTGTGTCCGCCGCCATGCAGCTCCAAACTCCAGCAGGAAGAGACTGAGGATACACCCCCCCACCCTGCTACTGCGCAGCTCCGAGGCGCAGAGGAACCGGACACTTCCGTCCACAAACTGAGATTAAAAATATCTTTATTATCTTATCCTGCTGCAAAATAAGCTTTGAAAACTAAAGCAATACTTTAAAACACTTCAGAAAACTTTGGAGGAATCCTGAAAAGTTTCCTCTTGAACTTTTATCTGTATTTACTCAGACTAATACACTAATAAACGAATGCAACGGTTTAAAAAACTTCACAGAACATCCTGAAGAAGTCACCACGTGATCATGTACCTTTATTTGACCCCCTTGCAGAAAAAATGCACTTTTAGAAATGAAACACAACTTTTATAACTGAGTCAAATAAATCTCCTCAAAAAGTGAATAAATCAGTCAAAACACATCCAACTAATGCAACACCTTATTATAACTTAATACAACTTGAGAACAAATCCAGCAAAGTCACAAAATTACCATTTTATCTTAAACTAATCCTCCTGTAGACAAATACACTTTAATACAAAACTAATGCAGCACTTCTTATAACCTCTCCTGGGACATGTCTCTATGTAGTGTCTCTCCTGGGACATGTCTCTATGTAGTGTCTCTCCTGGGACATGTCTCCATGTAGTGTCTCTACTGGGACATGTCTCCATGTAGTGTCTCTACTGGGACATGTCTCCATGTAGTGTCTACTGGGACATGTCTCCATGTAGTGTCTCTACTGGGACATGTCTCTATGTAGTGTCTCTCCTGGGACATGTCTCCATGTAGTGTCTCTACTGGGACATGTCTCCATGTAGTGTCTCTACTGGGACATGTCTCCATGTAGTGTCTCTCCTGGGACATGTCTCCATGTAGTGTCTACTGGGACATGTCTCCATGTAGTGTCTACTGGGACATGTCTCCATGTAGTGTCTCTCCTGGGACATGTCTCCATGTAGTGTCTCTACTGGGACATGTCTCCATGTAGTGTCTCTACTGGGACATGTCTCCATGTAGTGTCTCTACTGGGACATGTCTCCATGTAGTGTCTCTACTGGGACATGTCTCCATGTAGTGTCTACTGGGACATGTCTCCATGTAGTGTCTCTACTGGGACATGTCTCCATGTAGTGTCTACTGGGACATGTCTCCATGTAGTGTCTCTACTGGGACATGTCTCCATGTAGTGTCTCTCCTGGGACATGTCTCCATGTAGTGTCTCTACTGGGACATGTCTCCATGTAGTGTCTCTACTGGGACATGTCTCCATGTTAGTGTCTCTACTGGGACATGTCTCCATGTAGTGTCTCTACTGGGACATGTCTCCATGTAGTGTCTCTACTGGGACATGTCTCCATGCAGTGTCTCTACTGGGACATGTCTCCATGTAGTGTCTCTACTGGGACATGTCTCCATGTAGTGTCTCTCCTGGGACATGTCTCCATGTAGTGTCTCTACTGGGACATGTCTCCATGTAGTGTCTCTACTGGGACATGTCTCCATATAGTGTCTCTACTGGGACATGTCTCCATATAGTGTCTCTACTGGGACATGTCTCCATATAGTGTCTCTACTGGGACATGTCTCCATATAGTGTCTCTACTGGGACATGTCTCCATGTAGTGTCTCTCCTGGGACATGTCTCCATGTAGTGTCTCTACTGGGACATGTCTCCATGTAGTGTCTCTACTGGGACATGTCTCCATGCAGTGTCTCTACTGGGACATGTCTCCATGTAGTGTCTCTACTGGGACATGTCTCCATGTAGTGTCTCTCCTGGGACATGTCTCCATGTAGTGTCTCTACTGGGACATGTCTCCATGTAGTGTCTCTACTGGGACATGTCTCCATATAGTGTCTCTACTGGGACATGTCTCCATATAGTGTCTCTACTGGGACATGTCTCCATATAGTGTCTCTACTGGGACATGTCTCCATATAGTGTCTCTACTGGGACATGTCTCCATGTAGTGTCTCTCCTGGGACATGTCTCCATGTAGTGTCTCTACTGGGACATGTCTCCATGTAGTGTCTCTACTGTGACATGTCTCCATGTAAGTGTCTCTACTGGGACATGTCTCCATGTAGTGTCTCTACTGGGACATGTCTCCATGTAGTGTCCTCTACTGGGACATGTCTCTACTGGGACATGTCTCCATGTAGTGTCTCTACTGGGACATGTCTCCATGTAGTGTCTCTACTGGGACATGTCTCCATGTAGTGTCTCTACTGGGACATGTCTCTACTGGGACATGTCTCCATGTAGTGTCTCTACTGGGACATGTCTCCATGTAGTGTCTCTACTGGGACATGTCTCCATGTAGTGTCTCTCCTGGGACATGTCTCTATGTAGTGTCTCTCCTGGGACATGTCTCTATGTAGTGTCTCTCCTGGGACATGTCTCCATGTAGTGTCTCTACTGGGACATGTCTCCATGTAGTGTCTCTACTGGGACATGTCTCCATGTAGTGTCTACTGGGACATGTCTCCATGTAGTGTCTACTGGGACATGTCTCCATGTAGTGTCTCTACTGGGACATGTCTCCATGTAGTGTCTACTGGGACATGTCTCCATGTAGTGTCTACTGGGACATGTCTCCATGTAGTGTCTACTGGGACATGTCTCCATGTAGTGTCTCTACTGGGACATGTCTCCATGTAGTGTCTCTACTGGGACATGTCTCCATGTAGTGTCTCTACTGGGACATGTCTCCATGTAGTGTCTCTACTGGGACATGTCTCCATGCAGTGTCTCTACTGGGACATGTCTCCATGTAGTGTCTCTACTGGGACATGTCTCCATGTAGTGTCTCTCCTGGGACATGTCTCCATGTAGTGTCTCTACTGGGACATGTCTCCATGTAGTGTCTCTACTGGGACATGTCTCCATATAGTGTCTCTACTGGGACATGTCTCCATATAGTGTCTCTACTGGGACATGTCTCCATATAGTGTCTCTACTGGGACATGTCTCCATATAGTGTCTCTACTGGGACATGTCTCCATGTAGTGTCTCTCCTGGGACATGTCTCCATGTAGTGTCTCTACTGGGACATGTCTCCATGTAGTGTCTCTACTGGGACATGTCTCCATGTAGTGTCTCTACTGGGACATGTCTCCATGTAGTGTCTCTACTGTGACATGTCTCCATGTAGTGTCTCTACTGGGACATGTCTCCATGTAGTGTCTCTCCTGGGACATGTCTCCATGTAGTGTCTCTCCTGGGACATGTCTCCATGTAGTGTCTCTACTGGGACATGTCTCCATGTAGTGTCTCTACTGGGACATGTCTCCATGTAGTGTCTCTACTGGGACATGTCTCCATGTAGTGTCTCTACTGTGACATGTCTCCATGTAGTGTCTCTACTGGGACATGTCTCCATGTAGTGTCTCTACTGGGACATGTCTCCATGTAGTGTCTACTGGGACATGTCTCCATGTAGTGTCTCTACTGGGACATGTCTCCATGTAGTGTCTCTACTGGGACATGTCTCCATGTAGTGTCTCTACTGGGACATGTCTCCATGTAGTGTCTCTACTGGGACATGTCTCCATGTAGTGTCTCTACTGGGACATGTCTCCATGTAGTGTCTACTGGGACATGTCTCCATGTAGTGTCTCTACTGGGACATGTCTCCATGTAGTGTCTCTACTGGGACATGTCTCCATGTAGTGTCTCTACTGGGACATGTCTCCATATAGTGTCTCTACTGGGACATGTCTCCATATAGTGTCTCTACTGGGACATGTCTCCATATAGTGTCTCTACTGGGACATGTCTCCATGTAGTGTCTCTCCTGGGACATGTCTCCATGTAGTGTCTCTACTGGGACATGTCTCCATGTAGTGTCTCTACTGTGACATGTCTCCATGTAGTGTCTCTACTGGGACATGTCTCCATGTAGTGTCTCTACTGGGACATGTCTCCATGTAGTGTCTCTACTGGGACATGTCTCTACTGGGACATGTCTCCATGTAGTGTCTCTACTGGGACATGTCTCCATGTAGTGTCTCTACTGGGACATGTCTCCATGTAGTGTCTCTACTGGGACATGTCTCTACTGGGACATGTCTCCATGTAGTGTCTCTACTGGGACATGTCTCCATGTAGTGTCTCTACTGGGACATGTCTCCATGTAGTGTCTCTCCTGGGACATGTCTCTATGTAGTGTCTCTCCTGGGACATGTCTCTATGTAGTGTCTCTCCTGGGACATGTCTCCATGTAGTGTCTCTACTGGGACATGTCTCCATGTAGTGTCTACTGGGACATGTCTCCATGTAGTGTCTACTGGGACATGTCTCCATGTAGTGTCTCTACTGGGACATGTCTCCATGTAGTGTCTACTGGGACATGTCTCCATGTAGTGTCTACTGGGACATGTCTCCATGTAGTGTCTACTGGGACATGTCTCCATGTAGTGTCTCTACTGGGACATGTCTCCATGTAGTGTCTCTACTGGGACATGTCTCCATGTAGTGTCTACTGGGACATGTCTCCATGTAGTGTCTCTACTGGGACATGTCTCCATGTAGTGTCTCTACTGGGACATGTCTCTATGTAGTGTCTCTCCTGGGACATGTCTCCATGTAGTGTCTCTACTGGGACATGTCTCTATGTAGTGTCTACTGGGACATGTCTCCATGTAGTGTCTCTACTGGGACATGTCTCCATGTAGTGTCTCTACTGGGACATGTCTCCATGTAGTGTCTCTACTGGGACATGTCTCTATGTAGTGTCTACTGGGACATGTCTCCATGTAGTGTCTCTACTGGGACATGTCTCCATGTAGTGTCTCTACTGGGACATGTCTCCATGTAGTGTCTCTACTGGGACATGTCTCCATGTAGTGTCTCTACTGGGACATGTCTCCATGTAGTGTCTCTACTGGGACATGTCTCCATGCAGTGTCTCTACTGGGACATGTCTCCATGTAGTGTCTCTACTGGACATGTCTCCATGTAGTGTCTCTCCTGGGACATGTCTCCATGTAGTGTCTCTACTGGGACATGT